GGAGTGTGAGACACAGATTGTCTCAACCCCCCCTCCCCACCACCACCATCACCACCTCCACCCCCCCACCACCACCATCACCCACATTTCCTCTCACTGTCTCTCTCTCTCTCTCTCTCCAGCAGTCGTCGTAGAAACCGTGTAGAGCAGGAAGACGATCACGAGGCTGCGTTCTGATTGGTCCACAGTTTTTCACGCGGTCATGTGACATACCGACTTTTACCTTCATCGGCTGCGGCCGCTGACGTCCACAGCTCCCCGCGTCATTCGGGCTGCACCACCTGTTGGTCAGATAATCCGGTCCGGTCCTTATGGGCCACACCTGCTGTTGTTGCCCACATGGTACGTTCAAAAACGACGCTGGGTCGCTGTATTTGTGTAGACTGAAACCCAGAACAGGTCGATCAGGTCCACGTGGACTGGTCTACTCTCAGTTGTTCCGGGGTCAGAGCCCACACGGTCTGAAAACATCATTATGACATCACAGCGTTCCTGAACTAAAAGTCAGATTTTAATTGCGTTAATGATTTTTTTTTCTTCTTTCTTACTTTTTTAGTGATTCTATTTTTAAATTTTACCCCCCCCCCCCCCCCCCCTTCCCAGGGGGCAAATGGATTTTTATTTTCATATTTTCTTTATTTGTTTCACCGCAGGGAAACTGCACTGATTTTTCATTTTAAGCTTCAGTATGAAATAAACATGTTCTCACTGAAGGTTCTCCAGGTTCTCCAGGTTCTCCAGGTCCTCCAGGTTCTCCAGGTTCTCCAGGCCCTCCAGGCCCTCCAGGTCCTCCAGGTTCTCCAGGTCCTCCAGGTCCTCCAGGTTCCTGCCACAGTCGAGAACATGTAAAGACACCAGTGTTAGGAGGACGAAACAGAACTTGACTGAACCAATTTTTCTGACAGGATTTCTTCCGCTCGGCGTGTCTGGACACGCCTCGGTGTTATCTCTTAATAGAACCGTTATCGCGGCGTCATCGCTCTATTTTTGGGGATGATTTCACGACTTTGCACCAACATCAGAATAATCAAACGGAGCAGTGATTTATATGCTGCTGCTGCTGCTGCTGCTGCTGCTGCTGCTGCTGCTGCTGCTGCTGCTGAGGTGAGACGTGTGCAGCTGGAGAGAGAGAGAGAGGTAAATATTTTTAGATGGCGGCGCAGGCTCACATTAGCATCAGAGGCTGTGACTGCAGTTAACGACAGTAATTCTGCGTGCGGATGGATACGAGGCGGCGTTTCCGGCGGCGTCTAATTCAGGGTTGGTCACGTCCCTGATGTGAGGAAGAGTCTAAAGAGGAGACAGCGTTCTATTAAGTACAGTACAAGAACGTTAATCAGGCGACGCCGAGCTTCATCGCTTCACTTAGCTTCAGGGGCCCTCGGCTAATTTTGCTGCTCGCTGAAACGTAGCATGTAGCAGCCACTAGATGGAGAACTCTGCGGTCATTAACGCTGATTAGAAAAAAAGATCGTCAAAATATGTCAACGGCTGATAAGCAGTTAATGTGTTTTTAATTAGCGCTCTCTGAAACCTCGTCAAAACCTCACCCTGGTGGCTCCCCCTGGTGGCTCCCCCTGGTGCCTCACCCTGGTGCCTCACCCTGGTACCTCACCCTGGTACCTCCCCCTGGTGCCTCACCCTGGTACCTCACCCTGGTACCTCCCCCTGGTGCCTCACTCTGGTACCTCACCCTGGTACCTCCCCCTGGTGCCTCACTCTGGTACCTCACCCTGGTACCTCCCCCTGGTGCCTCACTCTGGTACCTCACCCTGGTACCTCCCCCTGGTGCCTCACTCTGGTACCTCACCCTGGTACCTCCCCCTGGTGCCTCACCCTGGTGCCTCACCCTGGTACCTCCCCCTGGTGCCTCACTCTGGTACCTCACCCTGGTACCTCCCGCTGGTACCTCACCCCATGAACCCGCACCACAGAATTATTCGGCAGTTAAATATGATGAGAAAACATGGTATGGGGAGAAGTTTTAAATGCGCCCCCAAGTGGTCGATGTCATAGGTTCAGCGTAAGTTTGTTCTAATATCATTCTGACAAACGTTTGGAAAGAGTTGGAGCAGAGTTGGAGATGACCTCTGTTTTTTTCAGGCAGCCGTGACCGTGCAGTGTCAGGTCAAAGGTCAGACTGAGTCAGAGTTTATTTATTTCTTTATTTATTTACTAAAACAGTCGTTGTGACTCTTTTTAGATTACTGGAGCCAGTCTTGGGGGGGACTGGCTCCCCCATGGGAGGGGGGGCATTTATACATCTGAAGAAATGAATCTCATCTGGTCCAATAACAATTCCATTTAGGAATGATATTTTTCTATATATATATATATATATATTTGAGCACAACCTTCTGCTCAGTTGACTGTGAGACCCCCACTCTATAGCCCCCCTCCCCAACCCCCCAGACCCACTCACACACACAGCCTTCCCTCCCTGGGGGCCCTTCACACACACACACACACACACACACCACATTTCTTCCTGAAAAATAGTGAAGTTTCACAAATCCACAACAAGGATGTAACGACTGCTGCTGCTGCTGCTGCTGCTGGTGTGCTGCTGCTGCTGCTGCTGCCGTGTGGTCAAAACACACAGTCCCTCCACTGTGCGTTGTTTGTGCGGTGATCAGTGCTGATGAGAGCTCTCCTCCTGGGGTCTGTGCAGCAGCTGCCGTGCGGTGAGTGCTGACTCCTTCTGACGGATCTCCTTTATTTTCACGTCAAGTCGTTTTCTCCTCCTGTCATTTTCACTCTTTGTGTCAGAATGAAAGGAAAACTTTTTCAAACCGCGCCGACACAGGTGCAGGTGGAGACTGTCGGCTGTTTCTGATCAGCTCCATGAAAAAGTTGAATGTGAAGGAGTTCAATGTTTAGTTATAATATTTACACTTACAGAAGACAAAGACGTCAAGTCTGACTTAATAGAATGTTCTTTTTTTTAACGGGAGTTAAACTGGAATTATAGGTAAAAAAAAAAAAAATCCAAACATGTACTAATTGACTGGAATTATAGGCAAAAAAAAATCCAAACATGTACTAATTAACAATAAACCTCCAAAAATAATATTTTTAGATAAATTAAATAAAACAGAAAATATATATTTTATTCTGATTTTCCATTATGTGAGTAGGAAGTGAAACTAATTCCTTTTCTTTTTGCTGACATAAAACAATGCATTGTTTAACCATGTTTGAAACAGTTTAATATTTTTATACACACAAGTGTATATATATATATTTTTATATGTGAATGTGTGTACATATATATAAACTTGCTTTTATTTTACATTTAATACTAAACAATTTAAATACACATTCATACATAGATGTTTTTTACACAAAAATATATATTTAAAATATTAAAAATAATCATATGAAATGATAAATTCATATAATTTTATAATTATATATGATTTAATATTTAAATTTATGTATTTTTAACTTTTACATTTAATTCCTAAATTTAAAACCCATCTTATTTTAAACAAACCAGTAAGAGCGCCCCCTATTGACTGCTTTATCATTTATATTTCAGATTTTTATTAAAATTTTATTTCAAGGAAAAAACAAAACAAAATAAATATAAATATCTCATACATTTAATATAAAATATATAACATTTATGATGTTATACGCTGATGAGAAAAATCACAGACCAAAAAGATCGGTCTTTAAAGAGTTCATGAAAAACATTACACGGGCATCCTGCAATGCCTGCGTGTACCACAAGGGGGTTCCCAGTGATTCGGTGGATCCCAAGTTGGTTAAAAGTTTGATTTGTGACACAGTGACTCTTGTGAGTTGTGAGAGTAAAAAGGGGAACGGGACAGGTACTGTGTACTGTGTACTGTGTACTCTGTCAGGGATATTGCCAAATACTCGTTGTGGGGGTTTTGCAACGTCCAACGGGAAAGGAAGGGCGGTTGCAGCAAGTGTGTGTTTTTTTTTTTTTCATTTAGTCACATGACTCTGCCAAAATGAACCCAGAAGACGTGTCTGCTGCGGTGAAGGTGGGAAACAGCCGGCCCTCGTTTACCCAGAATTCATTCTAAGTGCGGCCAATTGTGCTTGTTGACAGTCAACACGCTCTTTAGATTTAATGGCAAATATTTCTCCCCATTCCAGCGCCGTGCTTTTCCTCCTCTCCCAGTTGTCTGTTTTTGTCAGGGCCACAGGCAATTACCTATTAGTGGTAAGCAAAGAGCATGAAAAGGGAGGCGGGGGAGTGCGGCGGGGGAG